ATTACTTTTGTGATATTAGATACATTTCTGTTTTGCAGAAGGTGCAATTCAGCACACCATGTTCAAAGTACCCATGACTGGTAACTTAAACGATGAGTGCAGTTTGGTTGATCTGCACCAACTCCACCCCCACCCCCCCTAAAAAAAGCGCTCAGCTAGTTGGCCTTCAGTGACGGCCCTCATTCACACTGGGATCGGAGAGCGCCCGCCTGTTCGGGCTGACATTCTACTGTCACCGCGGTGAAAACAGGTGAGAACAAGGGGCAACATGAGCACAGACCCCCGCCCCCATAAAGAACAACGTGTGCCAAGTAAAAATTCCTCAGCCTGAGGCTGCAGACCTTGTTATTTTCAGCTTTGCTACATCTTTGCACACCATCGTCGACCGCGACACCTCTGTGACTGTCAATTTTATCTATAATCACGATCACTAAAAGCATTGTGGGATGCCCCTTTATCCTCTGAGGGAACAAAATTATCAGTTAAAAATGGATTATGCAGGTCGTCACACTACATAATTCAAATTGAAAATAAGCAATGTGGAAAAAACTGAAAAGTCTGCTGCTCATTATTGACAGACAGCCTTGGTAAAGTGGGCAACGCACCCTTAGGAAGCAGGGACCCCTTCCAGCCAGCTGGAGCCCCGACCGGAGGCTGCATGCACTCACACCTTGATCCCAAAGCCTCAGCACTGAGTAAATAAATCCTGGAGCGCCAGGCGAACTCAGCGCCCGCCTGCAGGTCTGTTACACCGCCGAGGGCAGGCGGCAGTCACTATGGGAACCGGGCTTTTCAGCTGCCCTATAAATCATCCTGCTTAAGACACAGGCACAAATACGGTGGGGGTGGGGGGGCTCACAGAACACAGTGTACAGGTTTAAAATTCCTTATACAGCAGCAGCATACCTAGTTAGTTTCCGACATAATACGCCTTTGAAGAGATATTTAAAGGGACTCAGACATCGAGCGTTGGCACACGTCATCTTCACCCCAGCTCGATGGGGCAGGCTGTCATCTTTCCGTGAAATGCATGGGCGCCCTTTCCTGTAATCGCAAAAGGTAACCATCCATCCGAACTGCTACGGCGAGTCTCGGAAGGGACGGCAGCACGCTTGACGTGAGAGGCATCGGGGACGCAGAGGAGAGTTACGCAACACCGCGTACTGTTGACACAGATGGCACTGATTTTTTTTTTCCGTTTCGCTTTTTGGCCTCTCCTCTCGGAGCTCCCCCTCGGATTGATCTGCCAGGCCAGCATGGACTCAGAAAGCCAGGCAGCAGGGAAGGACGGGCAGTACAGGCTCCCCGGGTAGCATGCATTAACAGCCCACTCGCTCACATGGCCAATGCATGCCTGATGAGTCCCTTTATTATTGTTATTACGGTAATTAGCGGGGCCCAAGTGAGCTCTTGCTTTGAGGCATTGGGCTGCTAGCAGTGGTAACAGTTCGTACAATTAATTAAGGCAACTAGCTAGAGTAGAATCCAGATCTCCACAAAGCTAACTGGTTAAGCTGTTGCTGAAAATTTGTAGGTGGACAGATGGGCGATTCTTCCTTTTTTAGGGACCAAATTAATGTTCCGGGTCATTCCAGAACTGGACTTAACTGTTTGGGTCAATCCCTGAGAACTATAACCGTGACCAAAAAACCAGTCCTGACCAAGTTCCATTTCCCAAACTGTACTATATTACAATTTACTCCCAAGAGGAAGTAGTGTATACATCTCCACTGGAAACAAAGGGGGACATGAACCAAATAAACTGGTAACAGAGCTGGTCACAGCTGAACCACTTCGACGCAGGGTGCCCGTACGACGGAGCGGAGATCGCAGCTGGGAAAACACCATAGCGACGAGAACAATCATCCCAGTGTGCCACTCCTGGTTTATTGTACTTAAACAAACGGTATCGAATATCCCCAAGAATTCAAGTTCACAGCTTCACAGTCAGAAACAGGACAACGTGAAATTGGAGCAAAACATCTCCACAGACCAAATTCAGCAGTAAACTGTGCTGACAAGCCACAGAAATAATTCCCACTGAAATCACTAAGGCATGGAACTGTTTCATTATGCGGTGGAAGCTGGTGGCCACGTGAAAATGCAAAAAACGCATTTCAGTAAGGTGTAGCTGTATTGTCGATAATAAAACGCTGCGAACATTAGCAATAAAAAATCTCCATTCATATCTATCGACTGTGAGCACAGTAGTAAACTTGCAGTGTATCACAGAAACAAAATGGGGAGCTGAACCCACAGAACTTTGATGGAAAGTTCAATCACGGAACCCTGCCCTGCACTTAATGACTAATGACAGCTTAACTGGACTGCATGAAGGTCCGGCCTGAGAATCAATACTGTGGTCCAGCGTGCCGCTGCAGCTGTGGGCTGGAACCCACTCAATTTTTCCAGCTTCTGGACACCATGTTCAAAAACGTACAACACACTGATCAGATTTGGGGCACAGAACGTGTGCTTCTGCACATAACTGAGGACCCAGATGAAGCTGCACTTCATTGGCCAGACTGTTCGTTCCTGTAGGAGGCAAACTTGTGTCCAGATCCACCAAGGACATCTTCTCTTACACAGTAATGTCTGAAAATGGCTGGCAAAAAGATTAAATAAAAATAATTTTATGTAATGTATCATAAAATTATATAATGATAATGAATAATAATAATAATAACTGGAGTACAGTTTGAATATATGACATAAATACAAAAACGAGTTAAATGTCAGGTAGTTTTCACCGTGTGGAGAAGAGACAAGATGTTCTTTTGCTGCTGTAGAAACAAAACCCTTCAGTCTCCCCCCCCCCCCCCAGCTTCTTTGAAGAGCCGCCGTGAATTTCAGAGACCAGCCAGTGGGCCGGAGCAAACACAGAACACGCAAGCAGGACAATCATCAGGACAAATCAAGGCAAAAGGGCAAAACACTAGTTATGAAATGTGTCACAGCAGTCCTAAGTCCTTTTCTTGGTGTCGATGGCAATAAAGCTACCTTTATTTTCACTGTAAATATTTTTATGTCAAGGCTCCACAGCTTATAGACATCGTCATATAACATTTCTATAAGCAAAGTTTGCTTCTTCTGTTCAACAATCAGGCCAGAGGCCAGTGTTACACGGAGGCACTTCATGCTTTCATTAGCCTAATCTTATTAGCGGGACACCCATTTGCCCAGTTGGATTATAAAAATTTATGGCGTCATTTCGGTGCCACACTTTGATACTGACCTGTAAAGCATGACTGGGTCACACAAACTTTGGACTTATTTCTATCTTGATGGATTCTACAGCCACAGATACAATTTCCATGTTGAGGAATCAAAATTTCCAACTCAGACTGAACATGGAGCTATGTGCTAAATCTTAGGCAACTCCCAGGCCTTAAGCCGACCGCTTTTATCAGTTTCCTTTGTGGAAAAAAAAAAAACAGCTTGTGGCAATTTATCAGAAATGAGAACTGTGCTAACGCGCAACACGCACTGCTGTAAATTACACGTGACTGATCAAGTATAAACTGTAAGACAGCTTTCTTGATTCACAGCTTGATGAATGTTTTTTACAGCCTGTAAATCAGTTTCAGTTACGGCAAACGACAAGCTAATGAGGGAGTTTAAGACCCAACATGGATCTCCAGCAGTTGGTGGATATCAAAGCCTCATTGGCCTCTCTCAGCTGGGGATATACCACCTTCTGCATGGGATTTCTATAGCTCAAATGGTATACACATTCAGGGTGTCTCCGATTACTTCAAAAATGATTCATCCAGTCTTACCAAAAACAAAGGCTTTGACGCAAACAATGCAGGCAACCAAACTGTCAAATGCAAAGAGCAACATGAACATATTTCCTTAGAGGGCAAATCAGCCCTAAATAAGTAAAAAGCTATTCAGTAACAGATGAGTGAAAAAAGCACTTCGTAATCCATTGTCTTACATCATCTTAGATTAATTTCCATATCGTATGAGTCTTGCACAAAGTTGACATCCTATTCTAAAATAGGTCTGGTGTGCAACACAGCAGGAGCTCACTGTTACGTCACAGGCTGACTGCTGAGAGATTTCAGTAACAAGCCTGACCCGTCCGAGGGACCCAGTCCTCACAGGACCTTCTGAAGACACTTGCTTTTAGTAACAATTTTAGGGGCGGCGACTGGCTCAGCGGGCTAAGTCTCTGTGCCTGTGATCAGATCCCTGATTTGAGCCTTGGCAGAACAGTCACATGTCAGTGGGCCCTTGAACAAGGCCCTTAACCCCCAGTTCCAGGGACGCTGCATATTGGCTGACCTTGTGCTGACCTTTCAATGTACCTGTACTTGTCCAAATGATTCATTATAAATCCTCTATTATTTCCCAAGCTGATCTGGGACAGTTTGATCAGATCCTTCCTCTATACACATACCATGCTTCACCGTGAGGGTGACGCTGGGGCTGACAGCAAACCGGAGTGTTCACAGTCCAGTCCGCTGACTGCTGCAGCTAACGGTAACACTAAAGCAACAGCAGAATGTTCTGTCCTTCTAGCAGAATGAAAGCAGAATTTGGGCTGGTGTTATTTTCATACTCTGCAAGGGCTTCAAGAAATGTAATAATAACCCCAACAATCTCCGAGGAGGCGGAGGACCTCCTTCACATCTGGCAAGCGTCTCTATCACGCTGGATTGCCAGTCAACTTCTAATGCTTTTCCAGGCATACTAGCTAGGAAAGGCTGCTAATGTAAAGCCAACCATATGAGTATTTAGCATGCATGTAAGTGACAAAATATTTAAATATACAGATCTGGAAACAATTAAGAGACCACAGCAAAATGTTCAGTTTCACTCATTTCTCAATTTATGGGTTTGAGGCTTTGTAAAATATACTTTTTTGCAAACACCAGGCTGGCTCTTCCCTGCTTCTCATCGACGAAGAGCTTCTTCCTTGCTTTACAGGACTTCAGTCTTGCTTCTAGGAGCCTATTATGAATTGTCCTAGCAGTTCACTTCACACCACTTAATATTTCCCATTCTTTTTGAATTGGGTGAAGGTCACCTGAGGTCATCCTCCAATTTCTGAGGCACCGCCAGGTAAGTTGACGGTCATCACTGACATTAGAAAGTTGCTTCTGTCCTCTACCAGGCTAGTATTTGGTTACTGTCAGTGTCCCTTCTTCACCTTGTTCTTGTGTACTGCTGTCTTAGAAACTTCGAGCCTGGAAGCAGCCTCGCAGTGTAGCCTTCTGCCAGAACCAGGATTAAACCAGGATTAAACCAGGATTTAAAACTGCAGATTTTTTAAAAATAGAGAGTGTATGTTATTTTGTTAATGTACCTCTTCTGTGTGGACAGAGGCTTAGTGGAGAGCATTCTGGTCTCCCCTGTTGTAGCTTTAATTTCCAGCCAAGCCTGTAGAGTTTGTCCTTGTGGGATTCCTCCAGCAGTACAATAACATGCAGTTAGGCGATCCCATGTCACTAACTAAAACAGACTTGGCATCCTCTCCAGGGATCCAGGGCGTCCCCTGCCTTGTGCCCGGTGAGCTCCAGTCTCATAGCGATGTTGTGCTGAATTTGTGGTATAAAAATGGATGGATGGATGGATGGATGGATGAATGGAAAAACTTTTCTGAGTGTATAAAGAAAAGGGTTAGTTTTTCATTGTTCTCTTACAGTGACATTTGTTTGTGGTGGAGGTGGAAAAACTGGTTGAGATTCAGCATAATGGGGACAGGTAACAGGTAATACTTCTACCACTAAAGAAAAGTACACTATGGTATTAATGATAACTGCAATTTCTATGACAATGAGGAAAACAGTCTATAATGAGAATGCATATCAAGTACTGTATATGAATAATACAGGTCCTTGACAATCATCTGAGAGGATAATTCGCCATTCAGGATACAAAGACCTCAAAAAACTTAGAAAAAAAAATGCTCTTAAGGCCTACTTTTTACAAATTAAAGAAGGAGAAAAACATAAAACATGAAAAACATAAAAAGAATGCTTACAAAAGAGAATACTGCCTGGCCAGCTATGTTAAGTGTGGCAGAGTTTAATAAAACCTAAGTATGGGACCAGCTTCACTTTAATAAGTGCTCCTCTGCAGTGCTTTGCTGGCCGCTTTGCAGTGCTTTGCTGCCTGCTCGCATGTGGCAGCTGTAAATGAGTGCAGGACACGGCGGTCACTGCAAAGCAAGCAGCAAAGCACTGCAAAGCGGGCGTCAAAATATTGCAAAGTGGGCGGCAAAGCATTGCAAAGCAGGCAGCAAAGCACTGCGGCAATGCAGCCAAAGGTATGCCAGTGGTTTAAATGCTAGAGACTCCTGGGCATATTTGTGAAAAAGAACACATTAAAACTGCATTATAGTATACAGCACTTGTGTCTACTCTGAAGTAAAATAAATAAAAAAAAATACAATTAAAATGAATAAATCTGTATCTCTAAAGCCAGGTGAACAAGTGCTCTATGGTAGGTGATGCTAAAAATGAGTCCACCGTGAACCCCCCCCCCCCTCCCCTTCACGCACCACTGTCTGAATAAACCCAAACAGGTAACATGCTGCTCCCCACACCCACTGAAGCAGATCATTGGCTCAGAATCACTCAAGGAGGGAGGGAGAGAGGGAGTGAGCAACAGAGAGAGGGAGTGAAAGAGAGCGAGGAGTCAGAGGGGTGAGACAGCTAGTGGCCCGCAATAGGGCGAGGGTTGTCATGGGCGAGTCAAAGTCATAGACGGAGCAATCTCCTCCCCTTCTGCTCCATTCTATATTAATTTCCAGTAGGGCTTTGGGTCAGAAGCAGTTGTGCATTGTGGACGACACCCCAAGCACACAAGCAGTTCTCACGGATTTGGCATGCCTTCCCCATGAAGACGACTCTCTCACACACATATGCACATGTCGGCACCTTACTCCCCCTTCTCTGACCGGTCATGTTCGGAATATTAATCGCCATGCTGTCCACGGTGTTCCAGGAAGATTCCAGCCATGGTAAGTGACAGATACCCTTACTGAACTATCCCTGTCAAGTGGAGAGGAATTTGCTAATCTGGATTTTGTAGCGCATTGAGATCCAGTGTTTTAGACTTGAGCATAATCATTAAATATTTTAGCGGGAAACAATATCAATGTTTTAGATAAACCACCCTATGTTATGTAGTCCTTGGTTTGCATAATGTCCCTGATCAGGCTGCTTCTGCTGCAATCAGCAAAGGATATTTTGTTTTCCTATAGGGATCAGCTGTGCATCTTCAGCTTTGCAGAATATGACTTAAATATATTTTTCAAACTCATTATAAAGTGACAGTGCAGTTTTAACATCATCAACACAAGCGTGAATCTGAACAACACAATGTTTCAGGTGGCAGTTTAAAATAATTAGTATTTCTGACATCTTCCTTGAAGCAAGAGGAGAAACATCAATCTTGTATAGATACAACTAAACTTGGTCAGAGCAAATAATTACAAAAACCCAGCAGTTCATAAGAACTGGATTAATTGAACTAGGGTGCTCATGTCCAGTTTTAAATGTTCAGGCAAGTGTGAGATCAAGAAAATGAGAAACTGGTGGGTTGTACCACACAAGTGCCACCGCTGATCTGCATAAGCGTTTTCTCTGACAGGATTATGACAGCTATATGTTATGAAACATTCCCCTGATATTTAGTTTTGCCCGGTTTTGGCTTCACTAAGGTCACATTGAAAGGCCACCAGAGTACTCTATGACTAATTGTGATGAATCTTGTTATGCAACTTGTCAGGCTAAATTAGTTTTCCATTACATAAACAGAACGCTGACTTTCTTAAACAGAATAAAATGCACTGAAAATGCACATTTCACTTAATATGAAATTATATAAGCACGCACAATTGAGCAGAATTAATGAGACTGTAGAAATATCTACCTGCCCCTGTGAATGCTCTCTTTTATGGCAAATAGCCTAAAAAGTTACAAAACAATTAACGCAGTTAAAAACGGTAAAAAATTATATATTACTCTTGACTCAATAAAACGTTCCATGTTTGCTCATATTTACGATGTATCAAAAGAGTTAAAGGGTAATTTTTTAAAAAACCTTAAAACACCATGGGTCTTCGTTGGCTCAGGCGTTCAGCTGTTGCGGAAGTCAGCTGGGGTCTAATTCACGTGACTAGTAGACCCAGTACAACCTACATTTATTTATATGTGTGAGATCACTGGACATGTGGCGGACCTTTCACCCATTGAGGGAACGTGGTGCTCGTTTCCTCCGTATATGTTCAAACATATTTAAAAAATGACGGCAAGGAGTCAAACCTGACACTTGATTCGTTACTGGCACATCAGATGCTAATAAGACAGCAAACCGGACACCCTGTTTGCACAACGTGGGTGTCGTATTCGATACGATCAGACGGAGAGATTCCTTGCCGAGTACCCTTCATTAAAAGGAATCAGCAGATTTAAATCGCCTGGAATAATTTCCATTAGCTGAGGAACAGTTTGGCTGCCACGGTTATTACTACTATTAACAAAGCTTCCGCACTGTCTCTTCAAAGTTCACCCAAATGAGTTTTAAAATCATGTCAGTTCTGAAGACTTAGAAATTCCTGACCTACTTTTAAATGTCGACTACGCTCTGCATCGGGGGCGATTCGCAGCAGCGTGATACAGAAATTTCCCGTGTATCTTGAAAAGTAACAACAAGCATATTTTACCACTGAATTCGTTTAAAACACAGTACTGGAATTTTCTTATATGTAACTGGTAAATCAATAGCTTTGCTTTCCATCTCAGCTCTCTCTCTACCATGACAGAACAGTACAACCTCCACATTACTGCCAACGTTGCACTGATCCGCTTGTCAGTCTGACCTCAGTCGTGAACAAGACCAACCCTGAAATACTTCAACAGACTGAGACTAGGGTTAAAAAAAAGTATGGCATTTTCAGGCATCAACATGTGTTTTTATGGCAGGTCTGCTCCCCCGTAGGATAGGAAACTACAGTTCAGCATGCCTTAGTAGTAGGCTATATTTCTATCTTTCCAAAAGCCAGTAGTTTCTGTTGTTGAGCGGACTTTTTAAAACAGAAGTACCCAACACTGTGAAATGGTAGGAGGGGGGTCAACGTAAGCAATCAACATCATTTGTGCTTTGCGGCTTATGACTTATAATTATACTTCGCAGATAAATTAAGGCAAGTCTATTGCATGTCATGGGTTACTGAGGTGCATCGCGTCCGATGTGTGCAGTCGCGTACACGCGCATCTGCTCCAGCGGTCGGGAGGCGGCATCGTGCTGCATTTCTGGGCACATGGGTTCTCACGTGGTCATCCGGTGCCGATTTGCACTGCAAAGCCCTGATTCCCAGGAACGGGCGAGCCGAACCCGGTGTGTCCTCTCGGTTTGCATTACATCATTGTTTACGGACAGAGGAAAACATGCGCATGTTTACGGGATGAGTAATGTTACTTTGTTTTAGCGACTGCGAAAGCAAACAGACGCGTGCTTATGTTTTTTCTTTGCTTTGATTAGGAAACAACTGTAAAGAAAAAGTTCTCTCTCGTTGTAAGAAGGATGCTGTTAAAACAGTAACACGAAATCTGGATGACAGATGGACGACAAATGACAGCTTACTTATCTGGATTTTTTTCATCACTTTGTATTAAATCGTGTCACTGCGAACCAGCAGCATATATTCTCGTGTGGCGTAGTGATATTTTAGTACTTCGCGGAGGACTACATTAAACAATCAAAGAGTAGAAGCTGTGTTTGGAGATTTGGTTGCCACAAAACTGGAAGACTGAGACTGGAAGATTTCAAAAGGTTATTCAAAATGTCTGTCCGCTCTTCTTTCCAATTTATTAACATGAGCTGTTATTTGTATTTAGCATTTAACAATTAGAGCATATGCTCGTTTTAATATATAAGTCATCGTTTCAGTTCCTTAACATATATACTGCTCTATTGTGAATACAATGTGGGAGTCCAGCTGTGTACCACAACAGGTAAATCTTACGTATTAAATGCAACAACACGTTAGTTATTTATACTTTTGCTCAGTGGATTGCTAAATGTTGTAATGCGTGCTGTTCTTTTTAAAACATAACGTTTTATGCATCCTTCTTGGGCGTTAGTGTATTGTGTTTTCCTTAACAACTACTAGTCCTTTGTGTTTGGTATAAATACTATAGTAAATTCTCAATATATATCCCTACTATACATACATACCGTAAAATTAAGATTTTTGGGCAGATGTAAAGGCGTAGATTTGGGTATGGATGGTAGGGACATGTCCCTATCAATATTGGGGGAGTGCCGTCTGGTTTTAGGGGGGCGGGGGATTCGGGGCTGATCGGAGGGGTGTTCCCACGAAGCAGCATTTAGTGGAGTTAATTTAGTCATTATAGTCAAATAGGAATGCTCCTTACCTAAACCTTTACTGGGCGATCATGTCTTCTAGCTTAGGTTAACCCAGCTAACAGAGAAATCCTGCTACGTGGAAAACCCCCTGATCCATGCCAATGCTGAAACCAAACCTACGCTCTTGGGCAGGGGGTCGTCATTAGAATGGTTAATACAAGTAGTGCCGTGCTACTATATATTATATATTGTAATGCAAGCCTGATGTTATTTAGGATTTGTGGAACTTTGTAGTGTAATAATTCAGTTACGGGTTGTGATTAAATTCAGTTGTTATCATGTATGTGTACTGGTGACTGTACTTTACTTTGAGTTAACCGTTGTAAGTTCTGTATTCAAATGCAGAACAGAATTAAACCTTCATGGCCTCGCTATGAAACCTCCAGCTACGCGGTAAAAACAGCATATTTGGTGACAAAAAAAATATGAGAGCACTGGTGTGTGTGGCCCTGCCGGCCACTGCTATGAGGAAATATGCTTCCACGGTCTTCCCTGCACCTGCTGCTGCCGGTGCGGTTTTTAAATTTAGCGCCGCGTTCGCTCCCCGCAGCCCCGGTGTCGGCTGGGCTCTGACGCACTCGGCTGGCCGCATAGAGGTTCAATAGTCTGAATGGCGATTGCAGCAGACTCGCAGGGCAGAGGCGGCGGAGCGTACGGCGAGCTCAATACGACTCAAACCGCGGTTAAAATGCGCGATATGTGCAAGGTGAGTCCCACTTTTCCTGTATCGGCGTCACCTTTAGGGACTTGCCTCTGGCGTTTCAGATTATTTGCACGTATTATTTACAATGTTTTTTGGTTGTGGACACGTTTCGGTGTCTTTTTTTTTATACTCTCCCCTAGTATTCGTAGTAGCCAAGACAACGGAGCCTTTTGTTTCTCTGGCTGCTTCGTTAAATATGAATGCGGACATATAAAGCGGCTGTACGACTGAATTTTAAACAGTCATATGCTAAGTGCACCGCCCTTTATAAACTATAACAGTATCCCTCTTTGCACACCTTGTTTCTTTATAGACCGCCACACCGCCGCTTTTTGTTATCCTTTCAGTCCGCAAAGAGATCCTCGCTCGGAGGAGAGCCGACCGCAGATGTGCGGCTTTAGCATGATTTTGGGGTGACTGAACGGTGTGTTTTAATTGAAATACTGTAAAGGGTTGAGTCGGCTCGCGGTTGCCCGACCGGCTACGTGGCTGCCTCGCTCGTGTCGCGCTCCCCCTTTCGGCGCGCTCTGGGCTCCGATCGACCCGCAGCCGCGTCGTTTATCCGCAATTAGCGCACGGGGTCCGGGCTGCATAACAGCGACTTCCAGCGACTCTGCTTGTACGGCGCTGCTTTTTTTTGACACGAAACCGTAAAATAACTCCCTCCCCAAATTTATACTCTAAATGTAAAAAATTGTCTTTAAAAACGCAGTGCTCCAGGTAACCACATAATGAGTACAACCGTTTACTCCTTTGGTTTCCCGTGAATGGTAACCGTCTGTTAAATCATGTTTTATAGCTGTATGCGCTTCGATTGTCTAATAAAACTTTTGATTGGTAGGTGAAACAGATGGGGTATATATTCGATATACATATCGGACCCCTATCCGGCACACTGCAGGAAAATAGTCTGGTTAATATTGCGTTGAAATATTTCTTATTCTCAGGTGAAAAGACTGTGCTTATTATCTTCTCGACTCTTTCCCTCTCTTACCGTTACATTTACAACGACTTTATATAGTTATGCAACCGTTTACATGTTTACTACTTAAATGTATGATGCATGGCCACTGCATTATCGTGATGTCTCCTTTTGTCGATTTAAAAGCACTTCCTGAAGCCTAGTAAACATTGGCGTAACTGGTTCCTGGATGTGATTATGGCGGAGATCCTACCTGTCAGATGGTGTGACTGTGGGGGCGGATGTTCAAGTAATTTTAGTGTGTCTGCTGCATGTACTTAGCTATGTTTTAATTCATTTTATTGAATTAAAAATGTTTCCTGTAGGAGAGTACCCGTTTAAAGATCTCAAAAACACCCTCAAATTTAACATAACTAAACTTGCCAAATAGAGCCCTCCCAAAAATGTTTCTGAGAATGAATTCTTACCGGGGCTTTGGAATGTTGAATGTGAACAGTTTGTATAATTGTGAGTGTTCCCCTATCTTTGTTTCAGGATGTATAAGTTTGAGGACTAGAACACACATACCTGTGGACTATCATTGTCACAGATTGTAAGCACCTGCTTTTCTTTGCGCTGCAGGTTACCTCGCCATAAGATGGAGGATAGCTTCGACTGCGACTGTGGTGAGCTGGAGCCACCTGATCACTGAGAGGTGGATTGGCGTTTAGCTGCTGGACTTCTGTCTCTTAAACAGGCTGTAGAAAACCAAGCTGAATAAAACTTTTGTGCCCGCTGGCACAGAAGAATTATGCGACTCAGGACCACTCATACACTGAATGTATCTGCACTGTGATATTACCTGCTTCATTCCATTGTGTTCCTTCAGACACTAATAAAAACATAAAGGCTTCGCAAAGGAACGCTCCATTATTTTTTCCTTATTTTTTTGGCCTTTTGAGTAATGACTAAACGACTTACCTACATATCAAAGAAATTCACCAGGCTTTGCTGGGGGCATAGCTGAAGGGCACAGTAAGAACTCTGTGGGCCTCAGTGGCTGTTTATAATTAGTTATAAATAATTAGTTAAGGAAAAAATAGGTGGTTATTTTTATTTTTTCCCCTGAAATGTCTTACATAGAGTTTTAAATATTCTTTAATAAAAATAGAACTCAAGCCCCTTTCTCAGTTGTTTCGGCGTTTGATCGTAACCGGTTGAGCACTTAAACTCTGCTCCTGTGAAATGGCTGAGAAGTTTGAAAGTCTCATGAACATCCATGGCTTCGATCTGGGCCCCCGTTACATGGACCTTAAGCCTTTGGGCTACGGCGGCAGCGGCCTGGTCTTCTCCGCCGTGGACAATGACTGTGACAAGCGGGTGGCGGTTAAGAAGATCGTGCTCACCGACCCCCAGAGCGTGAAGCACGCCCTGAGGGAGATCAAGATCATCCGGCGTCTGGACCACGACAACATCGTGAAGGTTTTTGAGACGCTTGGCCCCAGTGGCCGGCAGCTGACAGAGGACGTGAGCTCCCTGACGGAGGTCAGCTCGGTCTACATCGTGCAGGAGTACATGGAGACAGACCTGTGCAAGCTTCTAGAGCAGGGGCTGCTGTCTGAGGGTCACGCACGGCTCTTCATGTACCAGCTGCTGAGGGGCCTGAAGTACATCCACTCCGCCAATGTTCTGCACAGGGACCTCAAACCTGCCAACCTCTTTGTCAACACAGAGGACCTTGTCCTGAAGATCGGGGACTTCGGCCTCGCCAGAATCATGGATCCACACTATTCACACAAGGTACGAACAGCCAGCTCTACTGACTGTAGAAGGTGCTACCGTCTCTTTTCATTGTAACGTCTGTTTTTGTTTTCATATGCTAAAGATAAGAGGCTAGCCCTTCCCAAGAGTAACATTTATGCTTACGTATGTGTGCTCGAAACTTCTGTTTTTATTTCGGTGAACCACCTTTCCTTGGATCCTGTCAAGAGGTGCAACTGCCACGTGATGAAGTTATAATGAATGTGGCAAAACAAAAGCTTTAATTTGCGGCGGGTGTTAGTCTTCCTAACAGCCACAGCCCTTATGACAGATCTGTCAAGAGAATTCAAGTTTCCTCTTTGGATGAATGGCTGGTGTAGCATTAAAGGCTTTTTATTCTGGTTGTTATGGTCAAGCAGCCAATGAGGATGTAAACTCATTGCGTGAGAGAGATGTACAACTTTTGAATGACTCAGAAAGTTCCTAAGTTGTATATTGTAATATGTTTTCAATATTATATTTAATTAAGTTTCACCTCTTCTGCATTTCATTAAATGGAATAAGTGATATGGGTAATTTTTATTCCTTCTGTAATTCATATTTTCGCTTTCTGACATAAATAGCTGTCCCACCAAAACTGGGCTGCACTGGATTTCTACTATCATCTAATTTCACGGGTCTGTGTGTTTGCCTGCGGGCGTCTGCACCATAGCAGTCAGGTGCTCACGTGCGTCTTTAATTAGCCGTCTCCCGTTGGGTCGCGCCAGCCCTGACCGTGCAGGAGGTCTACATAACAGCCGGAAAGTAGGCCACGCACAACCACAACTGCTGCGCCTGTGGTCTCTCCTCAGAAGGGCGTCGTTTTCGGGAAAGACGGGCAGCCCCTCAGCCACACTGAGTCCAGTGACTGGCCTGCCCGCTTCCCTGGCAGCCAGTGGGTGGCATGTCTGAGCCTCGCCCATGGCAGCTGGATCAACCATGGATGCATGACTTCGTAGACCATGTTTTACCTCGTAGCTTCGTGCATAGGTGTGCACCGGCTAAGTCATGTAGTGGTTACTGCGGCTTATTTCTGACCATGTTGCTAGAGGTGACGCCAGTCGCAGGGTCTCCTGAAGACCCACCCCTATGAGTGCTTCTTCAGCCCCTCTTCCTTCAGGCCCTCTTCCTTCAGGCCCTCTTCCTTCAGGCCCACTTCCTTCAGGCCCACTTCCTTCAGGCCCTCTTCCTTCAGCCCCTCAGTTTGCACACACAGACGCCTTTCTGTTTTAATTATTTTTATTCCAGGCAGACCCATTTCAGCACAAAGCCCTGTGATTTTAACAGCCCCACTGCCGGGGGGAGGGGTGCTCGTCTGCGGCTCCCGTTGTGGGCGGAGCTCTTGCCGTGGGCACCGAGGGCGAGATCAGTTTTCAGTGGTGCTGCTGGTGCAACGGAAAATTTTAAACCTTTGAAAAACAACGGTTTGTTTTGAAGGGCCCAGAGCTTCTGGATCTGCCTCGCATAGAGTGCAGGGTTCAAACACCTCATACACTGCTCCAGAAGGCCTCTGCTTCAAGAATGTAGGGAATTCACATGCAGTATACTGACTGACTGCATTCCAAGCCACCCCCACCCCCACAAAGCTAGCCTCCATTTCCTGCTGTTGCTGAAGTGAAATAAATTGTGATTTCTTTCACTTTATTGCTTCTGGCTGAGTGAGATACAGAGAGAAGGCTGCTTTTGAGAAGGCTGGAGCAGCAGGTACGACGAGTCTCAGAGCACAGAATTAAAAAGAAACTTCTATGTCAGGGCGAAATGGGGGTGGAGAGTGGAGGCTAAGTGCGTGTGGGCCACAGAAACGTGATCACGACGACTACAATCTTCACGTGTCAAATATTTGAAACATTGTTTAAAAATGCTTAAAACATCAGCAGGAATGTGTGTCCCGCCTCTCCAGAGCTTCTTGATGAATTGGTCTCCACACCTTGCTTACCAAACTAATGACACACACAGATCACTCCCATTGTTTTGAATTACACCCTCTTATGCAAAGAAGCTTAGTTGAATGGTGCCATGGATTTTCTTCCATGGTTACTTTCTGCACCTCCATACTCTTCATACAGATAGGACTACCACAAGCAATATGAGATTACGTTGAGTCAACAAGTATTATTTTTATCTCGGGACCAGAAAGCCAAACCTGTAGTGAATGCAGCATACAGTTTATGTCAATTTAAGCTTGTTTATTTAGTTTCAGCACATTCCCTGTGTTTTTGGAACGTGTCCACATACTTACTACAACACTGAGAATTGTAAAGGGTTCATTTTCCTTCAGTGTTCTGTACTTTTCCTGCTTTGTGAGGTTTGGTTAATCTGTTCTTCTCGAGTTGCATGAATTTCTTAGAGTCACGTTGCCCCAGTGAAACAAGATGTTCTGTCACATGTCGTCTTGGGCCAGGCGAAGGAGGGAACCAACTCATTGAAGATCTATGTGATTTGGGCTTGATTGATGGATGTGCTCCTGTGGAAGACCATTACTTTGAATCTCAGAGCTCTTGTTAAAAGAAATATGAAAACCCCTGTTTCGTTTTGTACCTGGACTTTCTGCATGTTAGGATCTCAGAATGAGGTTTGCTAAACTTGCTCCCCTACAACTGGATGGTTGGATTTTGCAGGGTTTGAGGGCTGCACATGTGACACATTCCATTATTTCCCCTGTATCTCCTGCACGCACACTTGATACCTTTCATCCATTTCACCCGTAATCTGTTTCTAGTGTGTTCCTTGATTAATCTGCCAGAGAGCCCTTTGGTTATTGCATAGTCAGGCCAATATGCTTCTGATGTGAAAAAGCCCTTTAGGAACTGCAGCTCTGCTCATGAATATTATGATGTTTTTTGATTTTGCGCAGGCTGCGCTCCATGACATCCAAAAGGCGATCTTTCTGTAGTGTCTTCTGAGGCAGGAAGGATTCGTTCTGTTTGGCCAGTGAACTCGGTGAACCTTCTGCTGTAGAGGGCTGGGTGGGGGTATGCATTTCTTTGCGTTATCTTGCCGACTGCTGCAGGTTGGTGTCACTGATCTGTCTGCTTGCTTTTCTGTTTTAAAATGATCCTTTCCATGGCTGTTCTGCCCAGCGACACTGGCGGCTCCGGCAACAGGCTCCACACGTTTGGGCTCCACAGAGGCACCATGAGCTTAGAAACATGGCAAAGAGCTGCAGAGATGTTTATCTGAAGCAGAAGGCTTCTCCGTATACCGTGGGGTCTATTTACCCTTTGTCACCTCAATATACTGTGCAGCCAAATTTGACAAAACCCTGTTCATCATATTCATGTTATCTGACTTATGTTTAATGTTATGTTTAATAATTCTGTGGATACAGTTTTTATTTTAGTTATTGTTAGGCGGATATAACCTAGGTTTTTACTCTCCTTTTTTAATTGAATTACATTTCAATTAAATTCAATTTGTTTAATTTTAATTTAACCATCTTATTTTTATGTCTTTTTATGTATCATCATGTATTTATGTCATATATATAAATAGTTATTCATTAATTATTCTAATTATTATCGTTATTATTATAATATGCTATTTGGCATGTATTAATAATAAGTGGCAGGCAGTCATGTGATCTTGCCCGTTTTTCCTTAAATCTGTCAGGGTCATCTCTCTGAAGGACTGGTCACAAAGTGGTACCGATCTCCCCGACTCCTGCTGTCTCCAAACAACTATACCAAAGCCATCGATATGTGGGCTGCCGGCTGCATCTTTGCCGAAATGCTGACGGGAAAGACGCTCTTTGCAGGTCAGTTTGGACAGCTGGTCCCAGAAACGCACAAACTTTTATTTGCTTTTTTTCTTTTAAAAGGGAAACGCAGGTAGCTTTTTGGGCACATGAATGCTTCCTAGTTTTGGTTAGCAGAGAATTTCAATTAGCAGAGAATTGCCTACCAATTCAAGTTCAAGCTACAGAGAATAGGTGAGGAGATCATGCCTAGTGACCCATAGGACCATTATTTATGTTATTTATTTATTTGTTTTTATTGTGACGGATGGTGCGCTGACAGCCAGCTGTTCTCAGTGCTCTCCAGTCATTGGTGTGTTTACCCCGGTCGACCCAGGTGCCCACGAGCTGGAGCAGATGCAGCTGATCCTGGAGTCCATCCCTGTGATCCATGAGGAGGACCGACAGGAGTTGCAGAGCGTCATCCCTGTTTTTGTCCGCAAGGACATGTCCGTGCCCCAGACTCCGCTGGCCAAGCTGCTTCCCGGGGCCAGCAAGGAGGGTGAGTTTTGGTTGGCTTTAGCGATGTCTCAATCCACTTCTTTGGTACCCCAATCCAATCCATTCAATATTTATATTTGCTGATTCCAATCTGATCTCTTAATAAATATGTAAAAATTCATGCAGATACAGTAGGCGTCTGTGCATTCTTCGTTTGATAAGCCTCGCCATTTTGCAGTATTCCTTTTATGTGGTTTCTCCAAGTACCTAATTATACTTGTTGTGTTCCACGAGGCCCTGTTGTTGCCTCCTATGAAACAATGGCAGCGCAAACACTGCAGGTAGCTGTTGGGCTGCTTCGGATTTTCAGTTTAAAGAATTTCCAAAAGGCTGACATCTCAGTAGTTTGTAGTTTCAGGCCAAGTGCCTCAGGCTTACTGCAGCGGGCGCTGGAACCTTACAATCTGCACAATTGACGTAAATTGGACCGATGTGGGAAATTAAGTAGATCCGGCTTTGGATCGGGCTGCGGTAGCCGATACCAATCAAATAAAAATTGCCTGGAGCGGCCCCGATTCCAACCTTTGATAACGGCTCAGGACATCACTGATTTGCTTGCCACATGTGTGCTACACAGCCCAAATCACACAACCATGTACGGTATACAGAATGTATGGCCTACTCAACGTGGGTAAACCTACTAAGTTTAAAAAAAACAATTTGTCTTCCTAGCTTTGGACTTCTTGGGGAAAATCTTGACTTTCAATCCCATGGACCGCCTTACGGCTGAAGAGGCCTTAGCCCACCCCTACATGAGTGACTACTCCTTCCCGCTAGACGAGCCCATCGCCAACCACCCCTTCCATATTGAGGATGAGGTGGATGACATCTTGCTAATGGATGAGACCCACAGTCAAGTGTACAACACCTGGGACAGGTTAAAAAAAATATTAATAATAATTTGTATGTGTGTATGTATGTGCATAAAAACAGTGTGGTTTTTTGTGGTCAAGGCTTTGACGTTTTCAAAAAAATCTTTTTCAGATATCATGACAGTCAGTTCTCAGACCAAGACTGGCATCTGCATAGTACTCATGAAGCAGACAATGTCCAGCTGGACCCCCGAGCCATGTCAGAAGTGACTGACGAAGAGGAGGTTCGGGTTGACCCGCGCAAGTACCAGGATGGGGACCGGGAGAAATTTCAGGACGACCCAGTGTTTGATTCCTTCTTTGCCTCAGAGTTCTCTTGGCAGGCAGAAGAGCACCACGAAAACAAATATTGCGACCTGGAATGTGGACACACCTGCAACTACAAAGCTGTCTCTCCCTCATACCTGGATAACTTGGTGTGGCGTGACAGTGAGGTCAACCATTACTACGAGCCCAAGCTCATCATTGACCTGTCCAACTGGAAGGAACAGAGTAAAGAAAAGGCAGACAAGAAGGGAAAGTCCAAATGCGAGAAAAACGGCTTGGTCAAGGCCCAAATTGCGCTTGAGGAAGCTTCTCAGGATCCTGCTGAGAAGGACAAGCAGCAGGAGAAGCACCAAGGCTTTGACTTTGACTCCTTCATTGCCGGCACCATCAAGCTCAGCCTACAGCCAGATTCCTGTGAGGTGGGCCTTCTCAATGAACTGAACAGCTCTGTCTCACAGCTGGAGACCAAGAGCCCCGTCCCAAAGTCCATCAGCCAAGAGAAGGAAGAGAAGTGCCTGGTGAACCTGGCCCAGCTGGAAGGCCGGACGCCCCAGCCCTGGGAGAGCTTTAGCTGTGCGGACATTACTGGAGAAGAGAGCTGCTTGATTGACGAAGTTTGCTGGGATGTGAGGAAGGATGAGCAGCTGCAGAAGGAGACCACCTGCACGAGCTATTTGGACAGGCTGTTCAGTAAGAAGGAGGAGGCGCAAGAGCCAGCGGCAGTGGAGGTGGATGAGGGCTTTGTGACCAGAAATGGAGAGCTTGTGTTTAACGTGCAGCTGGACTCCTTGGCAGTTCCCCGGTTTGAGAGCCCTGCTGATTCTCCCCTGAAGTCCATACAGACGACCCTGACGCCCTCAGCCATAAAGTGTTCCCCTCAAATCGCCCATAAAACCTATAGTAGCATTTTAAAACATCTGAATTAATGGCCCAAATATTTTGAAATAGTAGTGATATCTTACTTGAATTATTGGCTTTTATGCCTCCTTTTTATGATCCGTATGTGACTGAGCTGCACTCAGTTTATGACCACGTCTTATTTGGAAACAACTGGCATGCCGTTTGCACACGATGTGACACCGAAAAACCAGCACAGAAGAGGTATGAGAAGGGGGGGGGGAACGAGGAAGCCACGGTGGAGTCATATGGCAGAAGGAGGGGCCGAAACACTACTGGGGGAGGGGGCATTGGGTGGGGGGAATGCACTACAAGGAACTGGGTCAAGTCACAGCTGATACGTTTTTGCCCTTTTTATCTGTTTGAAAGTTTATCATCACGTCTTAAATCTTACATTAATAAATTAGGCCTATCTTCCCAAAAACATCGTCTAAAACACATTTTGTAATTCAAACCGTCATTTTACTTGTGGTGAAATCAGCAGCCGTTAAATGTTGATTTTTTTTTTTCTCTAATTGTTATCTACCTCAAGGTAACAGCAGAAAGTGGGCAAATCTCAGCCCTAGCAGTGCTTTACAGACACATTCTCCACCGCATTCGACACGCGCTGATGTCGCTTGCTTTGTGTTATTTTGCCATAGTGAAGTGATGAGGTCATTATTTATTTTTCAGCGGACATGTAATATTTATTGTGATGTGTAATTTCAATGTGAGTGTTGGAAAAGCAAAGGAATTTGATTTGCATAATCTTGTATGGTACATGCAGTACATGAGCATCTAACTTAAAGTATCATTTGCTTAATTTTAAGCGGTAATTTTTCCATTATCTTTCTTTGCTTAAATGCGCAATTTTTTTTGTCCCGCTGATTTTTATTTATTTTTTAGTTAGAGGTACTTCTATTCTTTTACTATAGAGGAAAATATACTTTATGGAATTGAACATGCGCCTCTAAGTCTTAATTTTTTAAATATAGAATATACCATTAGAGTCGTGTGCATGGACAAAACAAATGAAAGGTACATGAAAACTAGAAATAAACTGTATGTCATTGTTTAATTTTATATTTTTATGAACAATTTGTATTTTTTTCAAACAAGCATGAATAAATTAGGTTACATGGTAGCATGTAAGACGTTAATGGAAATTTGTTTTGCCTTTAAATGTTAGTATTTTATTATTGGTTCTCTTGTTCTAAAAAACATAAATAAAATCCCCAACAAATACACAAAGGCTTTTACTGTTTTTTAATTTCAAAGTTACCAAAAAAACTAGAACTAATATGTAACGGTATACTGTAGCTACACAGAAAATTATTTATTGGGACCCTGTCTGCCTTTTCTGCAGCCTGCATGTGTCACTTCTCGCTAAGACACACATTAGTGGAGAATATCGTACCAGGCTGAAAAACAGCCACTGCATCAGTTTCTCCCTGAAAGGAGGCTTGCTGTACTCACATAACGAGCTGTATAAGAACTTAAGAAATTTACAAACGAGAGAAAGCCATCTGGCCCATCAAGCTCATTTGGGGAGAACTTAACTAATAGCTCAGAGTTGTTAAAATCTTATCTAGCTCTGATTTAAAGGAACCCAGGGTTTTAGCCTGCACTATACTCCATACTCTAACTACACGCTGTGTAAAGAAGTGCTTTCTCAAATTCCATTTAAAATGTTCTCCCGCTGCTTTCCACCTATGGCCACGAGTTCTAGTATTTAAACTAGTGCTGTCAAACGATAAAATTTTTAAATCAGATTAATCACAGGGTTGCTGTGGATTAATTTAGATTAATCACGATTAAATATCATTCATTTTTAATCTATATTAATCGCATTTCATTTTGCATGAGCAAACAGACTAAAGAAAAAAGGGAATATATATGCACTTAACATGTTTATTGAACATCTTGAACATGAGTCGGATGCATTCCATTTGCCACAGAAGTGCAATACCATGGATCCATATCAAAAAGCAAGATTTTTTTGCTTAGCCGGACAACTTGTCGGATTTAAGGTACCTCAGTTTAAATGGTCTTTATCTTCGTTCACTTACAATTAGCCCGAACTACCGTAAATCTGACAAATAATCTGACTAATCATGAAATCCAATTCTAGCCCGGTTAATTGCCATTGTTAGCAATATCAGTTGATAACACATTATGGGCGATGCTTTACGTATAAAACTCCGTAGCAACACGTCCACAGATAAGTTGGACGGTATAGTGTGTGCGACCAATTTAATGAGCCACAAATGAGAAGTAGTGCTTAAACAGTATAAAACTACAACTTTCCCTTCTGTTGATAAAGGGCGCAGCCATCTTAGATTCTGAATTGGGGATCCTCTGTGCTGCTCCAAGATATTTCTCGGATCTCCAAGAGACGGGAGCCCGCATGTTGTCACTTCTGGCTTCAAAACTCGGAATCCGACTTGGAAATACGAGTTCCCAGGGCAAATGGAACGCACCAAAACTGTCCGAAATGGGTTGACAGAGACATTTCAGGGATTTTAAGTCATTCTGTGCTGTAGATGGGTTAATTGCGTTAAAAATTTAAATCAGATTAATCATGATGATGGATTAATCTGCGTTAACCCGTTAATTTTGACAGCCCTAATTTAAACTAATATTTTAAAGTAGCCATTTGGCTGAACAGCATCCAGACCTGTTAGAATCTTATATACCTGGATCATGTCCCCCCGTATGGCAGACGGTTTGCTGTAAATGTGATACGCAGCCTGCTCTTCCTGTAGGGGATCTGTCGTTAAGCTCGCAGTGCGTGGAGCTGCAGCTACAGCTACGTAGTGCCACTGCACTGACACTAGTTTTACAGTGTATTACCCATGATTTGTTGCAGCACTTGAGTTCAATCCTTGCTATGGGAAGATTATTGGTTTTTTTTCCATACAACTTGACCGAAATAAGTGACTTACAAAGTTTTTTAAGCAGCTTTGTCAATTTAGGCTGTAAACAATAATCTTTACATACACGCCATATTTTTATCTGCATTTATATTTGTCTAAACTTTTTGAATGACCCAATAAATTGCACCACATACATATTTTATAGTATATTGCATATCAGCTGACGTATAAACTGTTATGTAAACAGTCCCCGCCCAACCAACCCCCCAGTGCAAAATGTGAGACAGGTTGTCATGGTGCTTCTCTATGAAAGCTATGGGGTTGAACTGGAATTTCTCTACAGCAAGCCCCTACATCTGCACAATTTTTGCAGGTCATACAGTTTTCCTTCTGTTTGAAGACAAAGCAAAACTCCTCCCCCCGCCCCCGCCCCCACTTAATGCAGGTGAGGAAGTTCTCTCACTTGATTACGTGGGAATCAGCAGCAATGCGCAACATGCCGGAACTGGAGCCACCATGACCTGAAGCCAGAGAGCATCGGTGCTGCGGTTCTCCCACGGCTGAAAGTGGATAGTCCTGGGAAAAGAGCAGGAGAAACACAGCGTCTTAGTGGATACGTCAGGCTGACGGAGATGCAACCTGACAAGACGCGACCGGCAGACAGGTGGTAGGGGCTGATCTTAAATCAGAAATCCATCATAATACACAATTAGCAAAATTCTAAAATTTGTTTGGGTTAAAATAGTAGGCCCGTGTGCCTCTGCTGCTGACAGTTATCCGTGTGTGGCTCTTAATCTGGGCTGTTCCCCGGGCGACGGCTGAGGCATCTGAAATTACCATGCCCTCGAATCCCTGCAGTCCGGACAAAACACGTCGTTCTGGTTCTAGACACAGAACATGCGTCATGATTTTGAAAGGCTGTTTGGGCAACGGTGCCCTAAGGCAGGCGCTGCCACTGGAGGGCACCTGCAGTGGATGAAACAGGATCCTCCGGATGTTCTCACTCTACAAAAGATTGTATAGGAAACAAAACAGGATGCAGAAGCGTTTGTGGAAACCACACCATAAACATCAGCAGTGATTCATTTTTCAATCGAACATAATTCATATACACCAATACCTATGAATTACAGCTCCCAGTATTTTAATTCACGCCAAAACAAGCTGTATAAATTAATAACCACATCGAGGCCCCAGCACGAGTACCATCGAAAAAAGGCTTGAGGCACATCGAGAAATATTTGAACTTCAGACAAATTCCCAGTAACAAATTTTTACCATAACAGCCCATTTTCAGCCCGTCTTCATTTCTTCTTAATTGTTTCTTCTTAGTTCATTGTCTCTTCCTACTTGTTGCTTCAAAATGTAATGTGTGGTGTGTGTGTGCGTGTGCGTGTGTGCGTGTGTGTGTGTGTGTGTGTGTGTGTGTGTGCAAATAGCTCGTGCAGGTGTTTTACACCAACATGAAGATCATTTAAACATCATTTTATTAGGCTGCCTAAGACTCATACGGTGAGTCCCATTAACCCCCCCCCGTCCCAAACATGTGACTCAATCTAAATAAATGTCCAGGTTGGGCACTAGTAGTAACTGAGGCAGTTTAGCAGCCCCCCCCCCAAGCCAGTCAGGCTCTGCATCCATTTGGAAACTGGGCAACGCGAGCGCTGGAGCGGCCCGGTCCCTCTAGGGCCTGGCAGGCTGCCCAGCAGTATTTACGATTTCCACCTGCTGCAGCCCATCAGCCCTGAGCTGCACGGCCCTGCCATAGTGTCACATGCCAGTTTGCACGCTGGCACATTTTCTGGAGGTGTGAAAGGTAAGCTGTGACCTTCCTGCACACTGTGCCACCACAGCTTGCTTTGCATGGGTCCTCACCAAAGTAGAGTTCTCTGAAAAGGTTTTCCCGGGAAAGGAGGACTGCCCTTTTCTAATAGCCAGCAGAGGGCAAAGTCTTAGTGAAAAGAATTAATGGGCATTTAAAGTAAATAGTGAGTGACCAGTGTTGCAGGCAGCATGGTGGCTTGACGGGTAGCGTGGTTACCTTACATCTCCAATGCTGGGGGGCTTCACATCTCATTCCTGCTCTGTATGTGTGGAATTTGCACCTTCTTCCCGTGTCTCGCAGGTTTCCTCCTGCAGTCTGTAGTACAGTATGTGCCCCATAAGGGCTGGAATCCTGTCCAGGACGTACCCCAATTGTGTGCCTTGTGCTACCTTGGATAAACCCTAATGGATGTCTATTGTTTGAGTGGCTGATGAATCACCCCCCTCCTGCTTTTACACATCCCTAAACACCAGTTCCTTGAAAATAGATTTGTTTATTTATGGAATCACAAGTCCAAATTAGCAACAGTTGGGGGGGAAAAACAGCCATTCACTCATGTCAGTGTAGCAAAGGTATCTATTTTGACAAATAAGATTCCTGTGCAGGTCCAGCTGTTTGTGGTTGAGGAGGAAAGTTAAGAATAATGTCTACAGCTGGGAACAATGAAGGTACTTAGTCGACACCGTGTCCATTCAAGGCTCTTCTTGTCTCCACACCAACTAGAAAAGCCTTACAAAGCAGCACAGCTTCAAGAGAAACCCCCCTCCCCCAAAAAAACACTCCATTTTGAGACGTTTGTAAATTTAAACCACTTGGCAATCGGCATCTGCATCACATGAAAAATACACACACAAATAGTGCCATAATCCCAGGATCAACTGCTTGTGTTGTCAGATTTTTTTATGAGTATTGGCATCAGCTTCATGCCGTATCTTCGCCGATATAGGGACAATTGTTCACTTCAGTCATGAACTTTGGCTATGCCAGAACCTGCTTACAACATACAAGACAAGGTTTGGTTAATATTTCCCCTTTATAGTGGCTGTAACATTTGTCCACAAGCAGAAAGCACTGTCATAGTAACACTTTAAACTTTTAACTGGTAACAGAGTGAAACAGGTCTGATTTCTTTCCACTTTGACTAACAAATCGTGTTTGACTTTCCTCATTACAGTGAGGTTATATACGGACCAGGGGTTACCCTGTTATATCAATTTAGCTTGCACAGGATGGTTAGTTCTGTATTTATTCTGAGCTTCTTTTGGTGCTGAATCGACACAAGCTTGGAGGATCACTATGCTGTCAAGAAAATGATCAAATTCAATATTCAATGGGCAAAACCTGTATCGATAACCTTTTTGAAGGCTATTCTGATGGACAAAATGACAATTCATGAAACATTTGCTATCATTTTCACCCAATAGATGGTGCCCTCTGTTCAAAAAAGGGCTCAAAGCAAACCAAAAGCACCATCTAGTGGGGTCAAAAAATACAGCAAATGGTTCATGAAGCATCATTACATTCAGTCTAACAGCCTAGCAGCTTTCCCCGTAAAATAGTAGAGCAAATATTAACAGATGTACTTCCAGTAAGTGTCCCCACTCCCCTATTAACCCTGAGTTGATTGCATGAAAAAAGGTCAGGAAACAAGCTTACAAAACGACAAGTGAGTCAGTTATGAAAACAGCTTCTAAGGAGTGTGTTGTGTGGCTTTGGGGCAATGCCCTCTTCACAAAAGGTGCTAAAGTAACACCAACCAGTACTGTCTAAAATGCATTACTTCCAGTTGAGCAGAACCATCACAACTGGTTTGGTGTTGTATGTATGTATTATTACTATTAAAGATTAGATTGATAGGACAGACGGATGGAGCCCCTCAGTTTTTCCAGTTTTATGGAAATGTATGTTGGCTTTAAGTATCAATGTGAAGTGTAATTAAGGCATAGGGCAAATAAACTATAGCAATTTAAAAGAAGTCAAGAAATCATTTAGCTTACAAACTGTATTTAAATTTTAGACTCAAAGTAGCCACCTTTTGCCGATATAACAACCAGACACACACAGCATTCTTTGTACAAGGAATATCAAATTTTTGTCAGAAAGTTCTTCCCAACTCTACTGCAGAGGTACCCATGAATGTGTTGCACTTGTAGGTTGTTTTGCTTTCATCCTTCTACCCAGTTCATCCCTAACCAGCTCAGTGGGGTTTAAGTCTGGAGACTGTGCTGGCCCTTCCATGTTTTTAAGGAGTACCATCTTGTTGTTTTCTTTTATATTAGCTCTGACATAGCCTGAAGGTACGTATGTTTTGGGTTATTGCCTTGCTTTAGGACGAACCCCTAACCGACTACATGCAGACCAGAGGGTGTTGCATGGCACTGCAAAATGCTGTGGTAACCCTTTTGGCTCACAATGCCAGTCACTCCATTGGTGCTTTTAAACTTTTCAATTAAATTGGTGGAACAAGAATACCTTTTCTTGCATGAACGAGCCAATCTGCATATATTTTGTATACATTTATACAGGAAATGATAGTCTGAGACAAAGTGCATATCAGGACAGCCCTGCTTCACTAATGGCCACAGTCTATATTTACACGTACTGCCTAGTGTTTGCAGACAGCATAATACAACCTCACCTCTGTGCAATTTTACAGGCAGATAAACCTGTCACACTCAGTCCCACTGCCTCCGCTGTGATGGGATTTGCTAATATTAGGGCCCCTGGCTGTTTCCAAATGAATGAATGAACGATTTCGAAGTTGTAGGCCAGACTTGCGACATAGCAGTCTGTCACAGAGTGTTAATACTTAACATCCACAGCAGCAGGCCTAATCTTGGTGAGCTTACAAAAGAGCCACCAAATGAAGACAGTAAGGCTGCATACTATTTTTATAATTGCCCAGTCTGCTCTATATCTCCAAAAAAGTCTCATCTAATAAAATTAAATTAACTCAGGTCAAACGTCCAGCACCCACCCTGTTTATTTCCAGCATGCTTGCTTTTCCACTCCCTTATCAGATAGGTAGCGCCTGCATATATTTCCACAAATAAAAAGGGCAACTAGCCTCTTTCCAAAACAATGTTGGCATTTTCTCAGGCTGCAGCCTTTTCCAGCCCAAACTCAGAGACCACTGTGCAGAAAGACCTTTGTTGGCCTAATCCGGGACTGAAACAATAGGTGGCTGTTCTGCATTTCCTGCCCGTTATCAAATAAAGATGAAAATGACAAACGAAGGTGCCATTATTTCTAAGTTTCTCACATTCTAGACTGTAAAAAATTTAGACGAGTAATCAGCACTTTGTGGAGTAACTACTATGCCTAATTTTGTCCGTTTTCTTTTCTGGGAATTAATAACGATGGTTAAAATATGGATTTGCTCTGACTTTCGCTTGAAATGGATACATGTGTTGGCGAGTCAGTTTATCTTCAGGAATAATTTGATACATAACCGGCAGCTACAAATTATTTTAATTTAAGACGCCGCTTATTAAAACTGTTTCCTTAGACTAAAACGGCACACCCAGAGCTGTGCTAAAACCGGCAGTGCGTGGATATTAATGTAGGAGCCGAAAGCACAGCTCTCTCCGCATTTTCTCTCTGGCATGAGACAGGAGGTCGGAGCTTAGTGGAAAATAACCAGACAGGCAGTCCCTGCTCTTTCCTGGCGACAGGAGCAGCGTCACTGCATGTCAGCCAGGTAGACGACTTCGCAAAGTATGCTACAGAACGTAATGGCGTGGCATTTCCCAAACCTAGTGTCATTTCATGTGTAGCGTGATTTGCTCCGTCTGACAAACAGCCTACGCCATCACGCTGCAGCACCGTCGGGCTGACAGGAGCCGCTTCTGCGAAGCCGCCACATTATAGCGCAGGGCTGGACGCCCCGGGAAAAGCGGGCACGGTACATGTGTCCTCAAAAGACTGCTTCTAAAATCAAGCATTTACCGGAATTAAGCCAAAAAGAGAAAAGGAAACAAAATCTTAATTTTAATGGCAGGGAGGGACTAAATGGTCGGTTTAAAACTGAATCGGCGCTATTATGTGTATAATAAACCTTAACCACACATTTACATTAAGTGTGTATAACAAGAATACCTTTTCTTGTACGAGCGAGCTGATCTGCATATATTTTGTATACATTTATACAGGAAGTGATAGTCTGAGACAAAGTGCAAATCAGGACAGCCCTGCTTCACTAATGGCCTCAGTCTATATTTACACGTACTGCCTAGTGTTTGCAGACAGCATAAACAGACCTCACCTCTGTGCAATTTTACAGGCAGATAAACCTTTAGCTGTCACACTCAGTCCCGCTACCTCCGTTGTGATGGGTTTGTATTTGCTAATGTTAGGGCTCCAGGCTGTATTCATTATAACAGAGACAGATTGTTCTGAACATGGCTACCTCAGCAGGGACATCTTTTTATGTACATTAGTTTTGATCTTCCTCAAACGAGTTTGTTTAAATTGTTGCATAAGACTCCATAACCATGTTAGAGCTAATTAGGTATAGCAAACCTTTCACGTTTTGGACTGAATACTGACTTTGCACCATTTGATTATCTCCTGTATATACCCATTTCTCCCTTTTGTCTCTGAAAATTCTCCTTGACTTCAATTTCTCTACACATTCAACTATCAGATCCTCCTTTAATTGGCTTTTTTTCCATCTTCTGATCCTGACATGCCTAACAAGTCTAACCCTGACTCCTCTATTGAAAGCTTGGCTCTCCTAACCATTATGACTTATGTGACCAATAGCTCACATCTCACAACAGTAATAGTGACCGTATACACTCTTAGAAAAAAGAGAAAAAAATTGTCATTTTTCTGTACCCTTGTAATTGTACCTTTTAAGGTACAGAAATGGACTCTGAGGAGCATCCCAATGGTCCAGACAGCATGAATGTACAATCAATTGTACATAAATATTCCTCAGAGTATTTCTGTACCTTAAAAGGTACATTTATCTACAGCTAAGGGTACAATTGGCAGACCTTCAAGGGGACAACCCCAGTGACAAGCAAAGGTGCAAGTTTTTACCCTTATTTCTGACAGTGTAATGTGCACATTTCTTGTAGTCAAATAGACTGTAATCTCTTTGACCAGAGTTATAATCATAGTAATAATGACCCAGGAGTTCCACCAGGACTGGTGAACGGTCTCATGGTTACATTCTTACCGATTTTTACTCATTGGCACCGAGTTGCAGGTTGACTTGTGCCACAGGACAGATGATGGGTTTCTTCTGGGAAATGCATGACAAACTTCACCCCACCAAATACAAGGGCTCAAATAAATCACCTCACAGCTGGTGGAAAGGCAGGCCACTACTTTCAGCCTTTCAGCAAAAGTTTTAATGGACCGTCTGGATGAAAACATTCAATTTTGCTGCCAACCCAGTGTGGGCGTGAAGCAGTTCAGTCCACAGCAGTGGGCTTAATGAGTCATTAAGCCTACATGGAAAGCATGGCGTGTGAGACACTGAGATGACACTCGTCTGTCTCCCGTCTCACATCCACTGGCCAGCTGCCAAGCTCGGCCACACTGCCCCAGAGGGTGACATGTGCTCCACAGAATGTGCGATATGGGAAGCTCTCCAGCAACAAGACCCAAAAGTGGGTCTCGGTGCTCCATACAAGCAAACAGTCTGTGCTGCATGATTCTCAGTTCTCTGCAAAGAAATCGGCAAGCACAGGGTTAACCATTTACACTTTGAGGGCCTCGGTCAGTCAGCTGACATGGTTCATTCATGGTTTTCACTTCCCATCTTGATATCAGCCAAATATTGGTCAGCGTCTGCATTATTTGCATTTAACCCTAATTTACATGCTTGTGTCCCAGAGTGGCGACAGACGTTCCGGACTGAATTATGAAAAAGGCTACATCAGCCCAGGAAGAGAAAAAATTAGGTCAGTACCAAACAGAAACACATGGGCACATGATGAATGCCTTGGTCCAAGCTATAGCTGCAAAAGCTAAACATAAATGACATCATGTTTTTTTTGTTTTGTTTTGTTTGGCAGTACTTAAATAGCCAGTGGTAATTTTGAGAGTTTTCTGAAGATTAACTTCATGTTCAGCTTATGCAGAGCAGGCAATGAAAGTAGATTTGATTTGTATAACAAAGATGGCTCAAATAATTGTCTGTTTTCTTATACTTTTTCAAATCACCTGATCCTGTCGAGCAGAACAGTGTCATGGTCAGGTCTACAGCGCCGCTGAAACAGGAGCCGTTCATGCCCCCGCTCACATCCTGCCAAATGTCACACTTGCTTCCGCGCCCGTTAATTTCCTGCCCATAGAAATACAGTCACCGGCATATTTCCGAAAGCTGCAGTTCCTGACTGCAATAAGTATGTTGACAGAATGATAGAATCCTGTTGGGTAAAAGGTTTTTGCCCTTGCAGTCCAGTGGACGTCCTTTCATAATGATTACATTACATCCTCTAGATTTGGCTTATATGACTCACGTTTCATTAACGGTCATACATTTGCCTTTTGTTTTATTTGGAAACCCACGCAACACCTTCGCCATATTAGCAATTCATGCTGGGTGAATATGTAAGAAAAACGTCTTTACTGCGTCTTTTTCTGAAAAATTAACTCTCATATTAAGGCTTTCTTCACAAATTCGGTATTTTGTTCACACCAGAAAGTGTAATTATACGACATTTCTTAAAACCAGTAGCACCAGTAGAATTTTTATTACACTAAAGTAGTCATTACACGTAAACGCTGATAGAGGTCGCTGTGAACCCATTATACGATTAATATCAGAATCATTTTATTCTAGCTTTTATTAATAGCTACTAAAACTGAATTACAAATTATGCTGCAAGAATCACATCCGTAACACACAAACGCGTGCATGACAAGCAATGTGTGATACGCTTGTAGTGACACGGTGCTGTATACGTGGCTGATGTGACCGGCTTTTTATGAGCTACAGTTGCGCCGTCTGGTGGAAAGCCTTGGAAATACAATGCGTCCATTTAAAATGTGAACATATTTCTCACAATGCATCAACTGAAAACTACCCAAGTACATTTAAGCTATGACTGAGCATGATTATGTATTAGGGCTTCCTAAATAAATGTCGTAGCTATTTTATGTTCCATAAAATAAAAATCGATTGTTTCAGACTGCAAGGTTTAAGTTTTGGCTTAAATCTTAAGCCGTGCCAGAATGAATGTGTCACTATTGCTCGGTTTCTGCTTAAAGCGAATGAAACACGTTTTATAACGATGTAATATAAAGGTTACTAAAGTGCAACAGTATTCATCAAGGGCAGTGACTCATATAACCTGACTGAACGTTTTAACTGACCAACGTCTGTACTCGTACGGCACGAAGGCTTCTCCCTTTGGCGCTCGATATACAACATGTATTTGTACTGTTCGCAAGAGAAAGAAATTATTTCGGTCAGCACCAATTGGTTAATTTCCTGCGGTACTCCGACTAATTCCGCCCACTGGTGTGATGATATGCATGAGCCTGAAAGAGTCAGCCGGGCAAATAAACATTCAGCAAAATGTGTAATGATACGTAAGATCATAAAGACCGTTTTATTAAACACTGACATAAAAATATTAAAGGGTTACCTCTAGGGGTGTCTCAAGTGAGCAAATCAATGAACGATACTGAATGAATCTTTTAGTTGAACAAAATCGAAATATTCGATTTCTTGAAAACAATCACGATTTCCATCTGTACGCAAATGCATAACAGAGAGTAAAAACAGCACAATACCAGCCAGTGCTCGACGTGGGCCGGTACTCAGTGGTACGCAGTACCAGCACCTCACTCCTTCTCTCTTCAGAGTACCGGCATCTCTCAATATCTGCTGGCACTGAATAACAAGGGGAGTACCAGCACCTGGCACTGAATAACAAGGGGAGTACCAGCACTTGCTTTCCCCCCACTTTGAGCACCGATACCACTAGGATGCAGCCCAGTAGGGCAGTGGGTCACGATACAGCAAAAGCATCTGCAGCACTACAGAGTCTACAGAGTGTGGATTGCTGATCAACTCCGTCATCTTCCTCTGCAAATTACCATCATTGCCTGTATCCTGCAAGGATCCTGCATCTCTTGTTTTATCGTCATGATCAAAATGAAAATGACAGTTTACACGATAGGAAAACTAGTTGATTTATCCGAACAATCTCCAGTGGAATGTCTTTAGCTGTGTCATGGCACGGTAGTTTTAGCCATTGCCAGTTACCCTTCCTTATATAAGCAAGATACTGCATTATGCTAACATACCTGAACAACAGTAAGTAAAGCAAGGCTCACATGGACACATTTTTGAAGAGAACCCTTTTTAGTTAATGATCGTTGAGGTCCAAAGTCTTATTTTTTGTAAGAGTTGTGTGTGGCTCAGAAGGTTGGGACACTGTGAATGGAAGGTCACTGGTTTGAATCCCGAGGTTGGCAGAGTGAGTCTCTATCAGGCTCCTGAACAAGGTCCCTAACCCCCCTACCACTCCATGGACAGGCAGACCCTGCTTTCTCAATTACACACCACTCACCCCAACAGGTATAGGCTAAAAATAAGGGGTTGTGTGAATTTGGCAGTTCTACAGTTTCACGTACCTTTAGATGTTGTCCAGCTGCAATGACATAGGGAGAATGGAATGAATGAGGTCAGCAAGCCTTATTCCTGAACAGGCTTGTTTTTACTGCTGTGCTTGCTTTTGGATCTCACCAGTCAGTCAACCCCCTTGTTTTTGTCCTAAAATAACACCCATTTACACTCAGCTGACTAGCTTACCACACACACAGCCTGGTTTTCATCCTGTCAATCTGGGGGGGGGAAAAAACAACAAAACATAAGAAGATGGATAAAACAGATTTTCAGCTCTTCCACTCAAGCACTACCTATAGTTTGTGGAATCTAGAGCAGATGTAGCATAATGCAGAACTGGATTAGAGCTTAAGGAATCCAGTATTTAAATCCCTTTTAATAATCTCTTACTGATTCCTGGTAAACATGTAATAGGTTTACTTTTGTGATATGTTCCTAATATTGAAATCCATAAAAGGAAATATATCACGCTGTGGAAAAGTAGAAACAAAACACATTTGTCTTACAACAATGATCTTGATTGTTTGTGCACAATATCCACACCCCCACAGGAAATGAGGTCATTTTCATTCACTATTGTCATTGATAACCAACATCACAAACAGATTCATTATTTGTAGCATCTATGGTAAGTGAGACAATGATTTCAAAGAATATCTAGGTTATTCTATCGTATTCCTCTGGCCTAGGGTGTCCTAGTGCTGAATAAAACAATAGAACCATTTTCTCAGAACAAGGGAAGGGGGAAAAAGATTTCAGCTGAATATATTTGGCAATTTGGACTCTGCAGAGTGTGTCTGTTTTTCATTACTGGGCCATTACTGGTAAAGCCTATCTTTTTACCCCCATGGTATATGCATAGAGCCTTAAGGCTTCAACACAAACAAAATACCACAGACAGTCACATAAGCAGAGAAACCACTAACACAAATTCATCATGCTAGAAAAGAAAGAAATCCACAGTCAAAACAATTAGTTATTGTGCATTTCGACTATATGTCACTGTCGTTATTTAGCCTGTTCATACACTGCTGTGGATCAGGGTACAAGGTCAAAATGGTATCAACATTTAAAAACCAGATATGGACAGGCTAGTATTTCATAGTCACAATGAGTAAAAATTAGACGGGTCACGTTTCAGCCTGGTGAGAACAAACTCATCAGACTCTCCATGTCGTTCACAGTGTGATTACGCTGGATGTTTTGCTAGAGCTCTTGTTGTGCACAAGGTCTGCAATAGGTCAGGCAAGAATAAGGACGGATCACGGAGAATGAGTAACACATACATAGAAGTGTACCAGTCCCCTCTAAGACTTGAACCAACAACCTCCCAGCTACACACCCTTCTCAGCACTCAACATGCCACCTGCTGCCACAGAATGATAGCACACTCACAAGTAAATTAGCCATTCTCCCATATATTCAATGTGTTCTACAGAAAAAGAAAATACACTGGAGTTTGGCTGCAATTTTAATTAGACGCTGTGACGAGAAAATATAGCTTAATAGAGATTGCAGAATCTGTAATATCAAGGCCCTAAAGCTTTTTGAAGCCAGGCCAGGGCTTTCAGAGGTATCGATAAACCTTTGTTCTGGGTTATTTTTAACATGTTAGAAAGTTGCAAAATGCTTGCTAGCTGTGGTATCCTGATGTCACAGGGTGAATCTGAGCTTCAGAGTGGCTCTTCAAGTCATGTGCATCTGACAGACCCAACAATGACTAGACACACCGGAGGAGCCGACGTGATGAAGGGAGTCGCTGGAGATTCAAATGTCTGCACTAACAGTAGCCGGCTATAAATGGCTCAGTGGGCAATGAGAAGGTAAGATTAGAATCTGCCCACGAGAGATTAATCGCTTTGCGTCCCTATCTCTGTCATCGCTTTTGGCAGGGTACAGGCCCTGGTTGACACTGGGGTGAGCGGAGGCCAGGATCTGGAGGAAATACAATCTCAGTGGTGTCATGTCATCCCCATTAGCATAAACGGCACAGGGATCTGAAAAGAACAGAGTAAAGGATGTTTGAAACGCCAACAGGGATGTCGTTCCTGCTCGGTCTCGACCAAGTCAATGGCCAAGCTATAAACGGACAGCGTTAGAAATTACATCACACAGCTGACCCCAGTCCGATTGGGGTCCAGGGTGTCGGACTGGGCGTCGCTGGTGAGCTGACATAATGCTAATGCTACACTTGGCTGTTAGGACTTGCACCGGCTCCCATGGAGCTGAGGGCTGGGCTGCAGCTTTCAGAGACAGAGGCCTTTCCATTCCTGGGAGCAAATCTGGACATCTAGACAAAATCCCCCCCACCCCACCCCACCCCACCCCACGCATAACAATGCCAATCATGTGCGTCTGCTGAGAGGGCCTCTACCAAACAGCCGTTTCAGAAAAATCCATTTACTCAATCAGTGGTCTCCAAAACACCCACGTGACGGAGGTTATATACTCATCTTTTCATTAAACGGCCTCACCGTCACCACAGGAGCACTGAGTAAGTCATAAGGGGAACATTTCAAGGCTGTATTTTACAGGCAGCCTGTACCAGTAAATATAACCTGCTACCCAAGTCTCATCTCTCCGCTTGAGAACCAACCTGCTATCTGGCGTAGCTCTCATGCAAACGGGCCGCCAAGACACAAACATCAAGTGAAACAATGGAGACTGTCAGCGAAGGGCCACTCTCCTTCCTGCTATCTGCCTGCATGCTGGAGTTACACGTTTATGATTCAACTCCTAAACTGGAACAAGATTCCACTGGCGAACAAAACTGACAAGAAGTGGAATGTGGAAGGCAGAGAGGCACATAAACCTGGATGCCGGCCCTTCATAGCAGCCTGCCACTGGGCATTATGCTCAGGTTTCATCAGACTGCTTTGCGGCACTAACACTGGACTCCAAAACACCAATTTATGAGAGGATGCATGCCTATTATTAGTGAATTATGAGGTTGGAAGCAGTGCAGATATCTCCAGATTATATGCTTCGGAAGGTCTGGGCAGCCATGTGCACACAGAGGCAAATTAACTGACGTTTAGGTCTGTGGATCAAACTGAGGGACTCTGTCGAGACTTGTAAGAAATGGAATGAGTCTCACTCAGCCACAAGCTCTATTTGCAGGGTGAACATCTGACGCTGAGCTCACCGCGTTGTCAGCTCCTTTCCGAAAATGATGGCGTTTGACCCCCGCCACGCCACATCACCACCCGCCCATGTGTGTATGAGTAAGCAAAATGTCCGCTAACCCCACTCTGTCACTAAACACAAGCTGTGTATTTAGTTTATCTCCGTGGCAACATGCTCCGCATTACTGATAACAAAGGCAGAGACAAAAGCATCTGTCTAGATAACCAATCAGGCCACATCAGACAGACAGGCAGGCAGTTAACGCTGAGTGGCCCGTTCATCCAGCCAGCCATGGCAAATGTATGCAGCGCCTCCTTTAACAAAATCCTCTTAAAATGTAATCTTCCTGCCCATTTTCCCCCAATGAATGAATCAAAGAATCCCAATATCTATAAATGTTGGCTTAGGTTTGCCAGGAAACACCAGTAAACAAGAGCAATATCTAAAAACAGAGATAAAAAGATGAGGGGGGAGTTTCTAAGCTTGCTCACTACTACTACTTCCGCTGGCCCCTGGAGGATAGGCTGGTTCCTCCAAAGGTTTTTTCCGTTCTAGGGAGATTTTCTGTGCCACTGTCGCCTCAGGCTTGCTCATTGGGGGTGTTTGGGCACTTTGAGACAATGTAATATTGTGAAAATGTGCTATACAAATTAAATTGAATTGAACTGAAAAATACTACTCAGAAAACTGTATCCCAGATATGCAGAAGTCAGTCTTATATTTCTGGTCTGCATGTTTGCATGAAGAACCACAATGAGCTATGTAAAGCCCAGCAGAGCTATGGAAAACGCGCTAAAACACCATAACGGCATACGTCTGCTGATAGATTCGCACATAAAGCAAGTAAAATGAGCAAACGATTTTCAGGACTCAGGCATTTGCACATCATCTTGCCAAAAGACTGCAGGCTGGAGGAGAACAAGGGAAGCACTATTTAAAAAAGCAGCATAAAAGGTAGAAATGAGGGCAATCATCCTGCAGACTTCAAAAGGCATAGACCACATTGCCAGTGCTAGATCAGTTACATGCACCTTCACCACAACAAAAAGGATCAGACTGCAAGGCTAAAAGAGATCATTGTTCATATGGAAAAAATCATGTCCGTTATCTGTGCTGTCTGTCCCGAAAGCCAGGTACTGAAGACCACACAAAGATGTTCTTGCTGACATAAGCAGGCTTTCCTTGTACTTTTGGTGACCTCCATGTTTTGCATCGTGACTTGCAAGCCCTTACTAGGTTGAAATGACAAACATGGATACAGAAAAAATGTAGAGGGGAAAAAAGCTTTGAGGTGAAGATGGAAGAGATTACCTTGACAAAAAGCCCCAAGAGTACAGAGCTTTGAGTGAGACTGGCTGTTTTTCTCCCCTTTTTAGAAGTGAGCTGTGCAAACACTTATAGGTACAGATATGGTACCTTTAAGTGGTACAGGTCATGCAGTGACTCAAATGCAGTTACTTCAGACAACCTCTACCACACCATGTCTTTATGGGCACTTTTGTTCCATCGCTTTAGATGGACTGTAAGCTGGCTGGTGATGCTTGTCCTGTCTGGAACATCCCAATCTCAGGGTTAGGGTTTATTCTCCGAAAACCCATTTGCTTTTTCCATTTGACCATGTGGTTTGGATGGACAACACTTTGTAGCGATCAATTACTGCAGACCGTCTTGCCTCCTATGGCTTTAAACCATCGGATTTGGTTTCATAGGGAGATGGGATCTTTCACAGTTACACAAGAAGCCCTAATGGAGAAACTAAGGTTTGGACCTCTGTATTGGGTAACGGTCCTCAGTTCACCTTACCTGTTTTATTCAACCTTTCATTCTTTGTGGAAAATTAGCTCATTGAAACATCAGGTCTATAATTTACATGCAGAGGTATCTATGAGAAGGTTCCACGGAAGGGTCAGAAACAAAGAAGTTTTATTTAATTTTAATTGGTCATAGGCAGACTTTGTCAGACATATTCCGGCCAGTAATAGTTTTCCTCACGCCTATGAAAGATTACAAGATCCCTCGAAATGAAGAGTGCCCATTTGAATAAATGCCCACCCAGTGCACAGCGTCAGCAAGCAATTAGTTCTGAATACCAAAATAAAAACCCATCCATGGACATAAACTCACACAACATAGGGAGGAATATGCAAACTTTGTACACAGACTGTTGGTGGGATCTGAACCACCACCCCCATCGGTACAAGGTGCCAGCATCACCCTCAGTGTCAACAACAGGATAATATTTGAGGTTTCAACCAAACAGATTTGGATACGCCTTAGACCACCTTTTATACACCATTGGTAAATCAGGACGCTGTCCTAAGGAGGATGCTTGACATCTCATTTGCGTTGCCAATTTTAAGACCACCAACTGTGGAAGTAGTGCTTAGCCACAGCTATTTCAATCATTATGAAGTCACTAGGGTGGTTTCTTAGCAGTATTGGGGAAAATACGTTAAGGAGCCTGCATTTGCCTCACAGAACATATTCCATCAGCATACAGACACAGATTTTAGTTTCTCAATTCTTCATAGATTGAAAGTAAATGACCATCTGCAAATACCCGCTCCTCTGAAATACAAGCAGCGTGGTTTATTTGCCCTTTGCACAAGTACATTGGGATGCTTCTCTTCACCTACCCCATCTTACTCTCCTCACAGCGCAGGGTCAGCCAACGTGCAGCACCCCTGTAGCTGGGGGTTAAGGGCCTTACTCAAGGGCCCATGGACATGTGACTGTTCTGCCGAGGCTGGAGCTCAAACTGGTCAATATTCTGATCACAGGCACAGAGACACAGCCCACTGAGCCACTCACCACAACAGAAATAAACACTCAATAGTTGCACAACCTAAAAGGTGACCAAAGGTAAACTCCATTAACTAATCAGCTAACATTTTCCAAAAGTTTTGTTGTATGGAGATTGTCCAAGTCTGAATCCATCCAGAATTCACTCCAGGCAGGAGACATTACTGAAATGCTGTCCAGTCCAAGCACAATACACAATACACGTGTAGCTCAGGTTTAAGGTATATGCTGAAAGCCAACATCTGGCAAGAAAGAACTAAAATAAGTGAAACCATTTCCACGGCATCAAACTCTTTATATGGTCATTTGTCCAAAGCAGCGAAAATGTGGCTAAAAATGAGATCGGGAACTTAATGCTGGCTAATGCTGCAAAATCTGTTAGTCATTATGCGGTTAACTTTTTTGCATGCGTCAAAAAGGAAATCACATTAATTTCCAAATCATGTAAAGGGAGCCTGTCGGTGCTGTTGCAACTTCATCACCAACGACCAAGGCATGCAACCTAGGTCAGCAGGGTCAAGGACGAATATGTCAAAATACCTCTATTTTGACAGCCACTTAAAAGGTTCAACCCCTTTGCAGTTAATATTCATTGTATAATGTAACTATCTGAAGATATAACACTGTAGATATGTACATTGCCAACTAGTCAGTAATACAAACAAGAGAATGTGGGCAAAATTTGATGTAGATACCTCTGACGTCTTAAACACAAAGCGAAGCTGCGTTTCCATTTTCCATAAAGGAACTAGACACAGCGCCGGACAAAGGATAAATGCCCAGTTCAGAATCCTGGGGAAAATCCAGGGGAATTAAAAAGGGTGAAAATCCAAGAATGACAAGGTAACGGAGCAGAGTCTGTGGCTTCATACATGGTGGTTTAGGGAGAGAGAACAAAGCTCTAAGTACTTTTTATAGTAGCAGAGTCAGGAAGGTTCTCCAGTGCTAAAAGTATCAATATAAATAATGTAATTTAGTATCCCTCAGTGACGGGCCAAAGAGGTAATGCCATCTGAGATGGAAATTCAACAGCAGCCACATTGTAAAACAGACCTAACATGCGGTCAAACTGATCTTAGTTACATGTTCTAGCAAGAAGCTTAGCCGCTTTATATTTTAAACGCACACTGAAAGATGAAGAAATGCAAAGTTTTTTCCAGAGTATTTCATCTTTTATTAAGAAATGGTTTAATAAATAAATTGATTTAAAAATAGAATCATCAGGAATCACCTTTACAAATTCAACTTAATCATAGAAAGGTTTAAAAGTGGTGAGACAGAAAAACACAAAAGCTTGAAAATCAAGTTAGCACCTTCAGAGAATGTTAGAATGTCACCTTCAGAGAATGCCATTTCTTTTGTCCGTTAAGAGTCCAGCAAGTCAAAGTTTGTGTTATGGCAGGAAATAACTATGGCATTAAACTTGGAACTTCAGGTTAATTTATTTTAATATAAATATATTAAATTTATAAATTACTTGAACAATTACTTGAACCTTTCTTACCAACAGCCATTTGAAAGACAGGTATTCCATACGCAGTGAGTAGGTGGGTCTTCATCTGAGAATAACCTAATATACCAACCGTGCTTAGTAGTGTTTTGACAATACGTTACAAATGCTTTAATACAGAAATGTTTCATCCACGGTGCAAGATATATGTTTGACAATGAATCTCTTAAATCCGCTGTGCCAAGGCAAGCATAAATGCATAGTCACATTGGGCCAAAATTCAGTCAGGCGTCTCTTACGGAGAACCATAAGACCGGCTGGAGTCTCAGAGGAAGGGAGACTCGGCTCTGACTGACATGCTGACTGAATGATTCACATCTGAACAAACCGACTACCTCACGCCAACATCATAAGTGTTTTCGTGATAATCAAACATTACTTTTAACTGGTTTCTCGTTAAACTAATAACAGCAGAAATTTTAATCAAAATCAATTCTTCTTACATAGCCAAATTAGCCGATCACCAAGAACAAATGTGTTGATTAATTTAAATTATTATTCAATGAGTGAAAAGTGAAATATTTCGCCCACACCCGCTTATTTTCATTCTTTCAGTCATTCCTAAGAATCACGATTTAATGATGAGCCATTGTAGGACACGTTCCACGTGATGCGCTTCGCAAACTGGAACTCTTTCAGTCAACATCCCAGTCATAGGTGACTAGCATTGAAGGGCACATCCGCGGGGGTCTCGGTACGAGGTCCCACCAGCCCAGGCGTACAATCAGAATACCTCACTTACGGATCTGTATCACATACTATCTTTTGCAGCTATAATTTGCAAGGTTGTCCTGTTTTAATTATGGAAGTGAAAGCGTAGAAGGCGTCAGCGCACGAACAGGAACGTTATACCCGCAATGCCCACCCCGGCAGCGGCGAACAGCGCCGTCTTCATGGCTGACTCGTGATTTTGTCCTCTTGAGCTGTGAAAAAACTTGCAGAATCCGTCCTGTACAGAAGAAAACAGAAAATGAGCTAAATGGCCTACTGACACCAGTTCAGAGACGAAAGCAAGTCCATATACACTGTGGGAAGCACTAATACCCAGATGGCTTCCACGGTGCCTTTTTTTGACGACGGACATAAACACGATCGGCATACCATAACACACTTTAATGACAGCTAATCACAAGCTCTTTTTACATTTAAATCACCTAAGCGCATAGTTACGTTGATGACATGGGTGCTGATTACAGAGACACCCATAGCCGCGGGTATAATACTGGTAACTGGACATTTAATTGACTTAAACGTCATTTAACGCGAGTCTACAAACAGTGGACAAAGGGGCTAGGGTGCAGATTAAAAATATATCTTTACTCTGAAACAAGCATAAATTGGGCACTCTGAAAAAAACTTCATTTCCCAAAGTGCTTCACTGCACTCTATAATAGGAAGCAGACGGTAAGAAAATATATTTAAATATATTTATATATTTCAGCGCTAGGGCATCATATGGCTGCCCTGAGACTCAGTGCTGATGCGTTAGTCATTTGGTTTGACAACGAATATGTCTAAAATAGTTACAGACACGAAAACCTCAGCAAAATATCTTTCGAAGTAACCTGAACTACCCTATCAAAAGCATAAGTAGTAACTAGGTGTTTATACACGAGTTCTGAGGATTTTAAAGAATTATGCACCATTTTGTATCTAATGCAATTTCCACCTTTAATCATGCAATAGGAGTAGGGCATAATTTTTGAGACCGAAACTGTTTGTAGACTGCAAGTAGCTTGATTTGATTTTTAAACATCATATGATTTTAACAATGTATCCATAAAACTGAAACATCTGATACATAACCGTTAAACCAAGTCCTTATAACCAACTAGCGCTGGCTACAATGTAACCGAATTAGACACCTCTGCTAAAGGCATCGACACACAAAAACTGCAGACATTTGCAGTCTCATTCAGTTAATGTTTTTCATGCAGCTGCACATCTAGTCAGAAACTCAAATTCTAACCAGTAGAAAAAAATGGTCACTATAAAGACCAAGAGGCTCTCTCGCAATAAACCAGCCAGGCAGGAATGCAAAATATCCCCATGTCGCTAAGCGAAGGTTTCCTTACAAATTCTTCTATAATGCATCACATCATCCTACGTGTACATTTTGTTTTCACGACAATGGATTTTACCAGCAAATAACCTAAGCGCGTTGATCATTCTACACTCATACTTAAGAGAATTTCAGGCCCCAAGTAATGAGAAAGACTGCACTTACCCATCCTTCATTTTGCAACAGCCAGTCTTGTTTCTCCACCCCCAGGTAGTCGGCTATCGTCTCCGCCAGTCTCCTGCAGCAGTCCTTCCCTTCCCCTCGGGAATGGAGCTCGCCCACCAGCACTCCGGTGAACGCAAAGAGGGATACCACTCTCCCCCAGTTTAATTTTCCATCCCCTACCATCTCTGCCATCACCTTTCTCAAACTGCTGCTACGGTCCGGTCCACAAGAGTCCAGAAAAGTTTGCACAAGGGAGTGAAATTTGGACAGGTTCTGCTTCTCAATCTCCTTGGCCAAGCAGCGCATTGCTTCTGAGGCCGGGCCGGGCGGCGTCCGCTGCACTCCAACGCAGAATTCCAAGTAATCTTCTGCCAGCACCAATGTCTCCTTCGACAACCAGCAGGACATTTTCCCCTAAAAAAAGAAACCGAGCATTTCAGATCTTGGAGTTTAACGCATACCAGATGGTACAATGGGTGGGATGTCCTCCTCCCTCGCCAGTATAAAACCAGTTCAGAGCAGTTCTAGCAATCAGTTTCATAATTCACGAAGATTACACGAAACCAGAAAAGTATGTCCTCGGGATGGGGTGTGGGTCATTTCCCTTACACGTAATTAATCTAATATTTGGCATCTAGTCAGGAATTACGACACAAGGTGTCCATTAACAAGCGCCGCGTGCACATAATTACTTAAAATAAAGCCAAAGGGAAAACGTATAGGCCTACATGATTTAATTTTTAAACAGTACATAATTTTAAAAACGTATCCATAAAACCGAAACACGTGATACGCGACCGTCAACCCAAGTCCCCATAACCAGCTAGCGTTGGGTACAATGTAACCGAATTAAACGCCCCGTACTTGCCATAGCAGCACGGCTAGTTTTATCAAGAGATCACACACTGCCAGCTACATTGATAAATTATAGCTACATCCACATGTAACTATAATTATTTCGGTTTCTGGTTGCTACACACAATTTTATACAGCGCACGTTTTATCTGTCATTGACAATGAGCCGAGACACAAAGGACACACGGCAACAAAAAAAAGTCTATACTGAGAAGACATTTAGATTAACGAAGATTACCAGACGTTTCCTGTACACTGACACTCGAACTAGCTTGTCATAAAATCAAAATTTAACACCAAGACATGCGAACATTTAAAAATAAAGAGAAGACGAAGGACTTACCTCCCAGAAACGCGAAAGAAACTCGCAGCTTTCCATCTGTGCTGAGAAAGGGGGGTTTGACCTTTTTCAGACTCACTTCCGGTTTTTTTTTTTTTTTTTTTTTTAAATTTCCATTACGCCTCCCGTGCGTCAGATTTCTGTTGGGGCTTCGCGTTATTTACCTATACGTAGCTTCTGATCACAACGCTTATTTCTGTCTTTCTCACACACACGTCATACAAGAACACACTTTCCCGTTATAGAAACAACGACTGATTTCCAGTATTTTAAATATCGTTTATTACATTTCTTACATAGATTTGTGTGCAATACTTCCAGCATAAAATTTTGTTACATTCATATATATACATGTATATATATATATATATACATATATACATATACACATATATATATATATATACACATATATATATATATATATATATATATATATACACACACACACACACACATATATATATATATATATATATACACCTACGGCAAAATATTAAGATTACAAGAATACTGCGAGTGCCTTTGTCGCATAAACGGTCATTTTTTTCTAGAGTGCTGATGTTACATTGCATATAAGGTCAACTAAGAATATCCAGCCAGTCTCTCTAGTGCCATATCTAGAGATTTTTAGAAAGAGCGATCGCATTACTTTTGAATCCATTGTTTTACTTTAATTAAAACAGAATTTAACTGGAGAACTAATATTTTTAAATCCAGGACAGATTAAAATCACAACACCTTTTCAACCTGTCTTCTACACTTTAAGATTTGAGAATAATGTAACAAGTTCCATATTATAAGGAATTGTTTTTTTTTTTCCTCCTGGCATTTTCTGTAGTGAAATCCAGAGGACAGAGCTAATGAGAGTCTGTGAAATCCTGTTTTGGTCAAAAATGTTGCTCATAAAAAGAGCATATGTTGTGTCATCAAAGTACAAAATATAAATAGTGCCTAAATATTACAACCACAGAACAAGCTAACTAATTTCAAGTGCATTTTTCTAATTAGATAAGATTTTAAATTACTTGCAACATTCTGTCATCCTTGTAGTAAGGGAAAGGACATTTCTGTGGGTGCACTTTTTGTATTTCCTAGATATCAATAATTATTAATAACAAGAAGGATGAAATACTAATTTGTATTAGTTTTGCATCTACAAAGTCAGAGGACTTAAAACCCATCCAAGAACATGGAAACTGCCTTTTGTTCCCCTTAAACACATATCCATATAATTTTAATACTATAAAGGCTATCCAGGCCCTGAAAAGAGATAAAATCTAAATATGCAGGGATTGTTTTTTGCACCATCAGAAATCGCCCAGCCAAGCTCATTGTCGTCTGTGGCTAATCCTGGGAAGCAGTGAATCCTGGGGTGGGGATTCATCCTGGGCACCTGCCTGTCACATATAAATAACCTTTATGGGCATGTCGGATCTTATAGCATCTTAAAGGATTGATTATGAAAGTGGGAGGAAGCCCAAATAAAATGGGGGGGGGATCACCTCCACCCCGTGACAGAGGTGGGGGCAACTACCTTCTGTGCAGCTGTGCTGTCTAGAGACGGTAAATCTGCAATATGTAAAGGAAATGTACAAACAAACATGTGACGTGGGCGACCACATAAAGGCAGAATATGCATCCAGGCAGGGAGAGGGGGCTTTTGATTCAGGAGGTTAAACACATGCTAATGATACATTGACACTGTTTTCTGAATCGCAATGGAAAATGAAAGCTGATGTGTCCCTTAACCACACATCCGTTTATCGCAGGGGGTATATATATACATGTGTAGCTAAAAGACTTTCCACTTAGATGATGACACAAGACATTTATTTGTGTTAGCAGAGGTTTCCCAGGAAACCACCTCTCACAATGTGTGACCATCCTGATTGGCTGGCCATTGTAGAATTTCTTTGCTCAATCCGAATTCCCTTTCATTAGAGAAATATCTCAGGCCCAGATCTGGAATGCAAATGAGAACAAAATCAAAATGAAGAAAATTAAATCCAGTTAGAAATTAAATAAGGAATTGGTCTCATTAATTTTGATGTATATTTGCATGCATATTTTTTACAATAAGTAAACGTTGCATGAGTTGCAGTGTGACACGAGTGTAATGCTCACTCACCCTCAGGGTGTGGTCCCAGGAGCCAGAGCAGAAGGCTGTCCCATCTGGGGAAACACGCAGGGTGCTGACACGGTTCTCATGGCCGAAGAGAATGGACACCCGAGTGCCCTTCAGTACATCCCACACGTTGATGGTGTAGTCGTTGTAGCCACCGAAGAGCAGGCGACCTTGGGAAGAGGAGTAAATAGCAACTTGAATTCACAGCACAATTCACCCCTGTGTGAATACAAATTTTTTACTCCAGCCCACTATCATTATTGCTTCTGAAAAATTCCTTATGATGTCTGTCCAAAAAAAAATCCCCAAATTACTGTATCATAAAATAATAAATCCTTCCCAATGTGCAGCTCTTGAAATCCCCCATTGCTTCTATAATACAAGCTTTCTATTGACATTTTATATAACAGCACCATAAATACCATATCCCAGAACCAAATTTCCTTATTTTCTCTGTGTTACATGACATTTTTGCGCTTGCAATCATAAGGCAAGATAATATTCATTCTGAGAACAACAGAGGGGAAGCAGGGTTTGTTGATAATTTACCACAAATAATTAATGAGTGCAGCCTGTCAGCCCTTGTGCAGCTTTTAATAATCTCTCCAGCAGAGTAATATGACAGGATACCTACTCTCTGCTCTCAGACGCCACCACCATGCATCACACTGAATGAACTAAACACCCAGATAATCTGTACACTGATAAATTATGCTTAGATGCATTTTGACATATCATGAGTTCAACACGTCGCAAAATCATTACACTGGATCCAAACACAAAAAACACCATGCATTTTATTTTATTGTATTGAGTTAAAGTAGGAGTGAGTGGGAAGTTACTATAATACATATTACATATGTAGGGCGCATAAAGACGTGGACAAATTAATTGGTACCCTTACAGCTTATTGAAACAATGCTTAATTTCTCCTGAAAAGTGATTCAATTAAAAGTTATTATCTAATGTATACCTGCATGCCTTTAGCACCTGAACATGGACCAGAAAAAGCAAAGGAAAAGCTGTCTGAGGAGCTCAGAAAGCAGATTATTGACAACTATGTTAAAGGTAAAGGCTGTAAGACCATCTCCAAGCAGCTTCATGTTCCTGTGACCACAGTTGCCAATGTTATTAAAAAGTATCATTTTCATGGGACTGTAGTCAACCTCCCAGGACGTGGACACAAGAGGAAATGCAACCCCAGGTTGATCAGAAGGATAGTGTGGACTGTAGAAAAATAGCCAAGGAAACCATCCAAAACTATTCAAGCTGAGCTCCAAGATCAAGGTACGTCACTTTCTGATCACACCATCTGTTCTGAACAATAATGGTATCTCCATGGAAGAAGGGCCAGAAAGGCTCCACTTTTGACAGAAAAACATAAAAAAGCCAGAGTGGAATTTGCCAAAATGCATGTTGACAAGCCCCAAAGTTTCTCGGAGAATAACCTTTGGACTGATGAGACAAAACTGGACATTTTTAGCCAGTCACATCAGCTCTGTTTACAAAAGGAATAATGAAGCTTAAAAGAAAAGAACACCATACCTACTGTGAAACATGGAGGGGGCAACCATACATACTGTGAAACATGAAGGGGGCTCGGATTTGTTTTGGAGCTGCATTGCTGCATCTGGCACGAGGAACCATGAATCTCTGCCGGGCGCAATGAAGTCTCAAGACTACCAAGGCAATATGGAGCGAAACATACTGCCCAGTGTCAGAAAGCTCAGCCACAGTCGTAGGTCATGGGTCCACCAACAGGATAATGACCCAAAACATACAGCTAAAAGCACTCAGGAATGGCTGAGAAAAAAAACACTGGACTATTCTTAAATGGTCCTCCATGAGCCCAGATCTTAATCCTATTGAACATCTATGGAAAGATCTGAAAATTGTGAAAAAGTGTGGAGACGCCACCCTTCAAACCTGAGACAGCTTGGGCAGTTTGCTCAGGAAGAGTGGGCCAAACTACCTGTTGGCAAATGCAGACGTCTCATTGTGAAGTACAGAGATCACTTATTGGCAATGATTACTGCAAAGCGGTGTCATAAAATATTAAATGAAGGGTACCATCTTTTTTTTGTCTGTCCATTTTCATTTGCTTAATTATATAAAATATTCAACTGAATCAATAATCAAAAGCAAAGTCTGATTTGTGTTAAATATGGAATAAACAATAAGGCATGCAATTAAACCTTTGTCAGTTTCAAGTTATTTCAGAGATAGCTGTCTTTTTGTGGAAGGTTACCATCAAATTTGTCCACGTATGTACTGTAGGTATGTGTCACTCAAAAAAAATAAGACATAACCCAAGCTGTAATCAGATGAGGCAATC